TTTTTTTTTTTTTTTTTCCATTTTTTTTTTTTTTGTCTTTTTGCGTGTCCGGCAACAGATCGCAACCCTCAGTGTCGCCCCCGTACCGGACCGGGACCGACAACGGGATCGCAACCCTCGGTGTTGCTCCCGCGCCTCGCTCAGCCAGTGAGCGGGAACCGGTCTGTATGTGGGATCCGAACCCTCGGCGGGAGCGTCTCCACGCTTCCCAAGCGGCACACCAGCGCAGTGCGGCACACCAGCGCAATGCGCCACCGGGCCGGCCCCAGAAAGAAAAATCCATTTAAAACATGTATTAAAATGCAGGAAGCTGGCCAGTTAGCTCAGTTGGTAGAATGTGGTGCTATTTAACACCAAGGTTTGGAGTTTGATCCCTGTACCAGCCAGCAAGAAAAAAAAAGAATGACTGAAAAAATAGTCTTAAAAAAAAATTCATTAAATTTAAATCATATCCAGGATCTATTTAGGCCAGTATTCTGTCTCCAACCTTGCAAACTAACACATAAAAACATTTAGGATAAAATAGCTATTCTAAATTATGCATGCCAGGGCCAGCCTATGGCTCACTCAGGAGAGTGTGGTGCTGATAACACCAAGGCCACAGGTTTGGATCCCTATATAGGGATGGCCGGTTAGCTCACTGAGTGAGCGTGGTGCTGACAACACCAAGTCAAGGGTCAAGATCCCCTCACCGGTCATCTTAAAAAAAAAAAAAAAAAAAAGTTAAACACATAATTACACATGACCTACAATTCCACCTAGGTAGATATCCAAGAGAAATGAAAACACATGTCCATGCCAAAAATTGTACGTGAATATTCTTAACAGTATTATTCACAATAGCAAAAAAGTGGAAACAACCCAAACGTCCACCTATTGAGGAATGGATAAAGAAAATGTGGTACAGACCTACAGTTGAATATTATTAAGCAATAAGAAAAAATGAAGTATTGACACATGCTATAACATGGATGAACCTTGAAAATATTGTGCTAAGTGAAAAAAGCCAGATACAAAAGGCCATGTGTGTATTATTCTATTCACAAGAAATGTTTAGAAATAGGCAAATCGAGATATAGAAGGTGGCTACCAGGGGATGAGGGGAGAATTAGGATTGATTGCTAATGAGTGAGGGGTTTCTGTCTGGAGTAATAGAAATGTTATGGAATTAGACAGTGGTGATGGTTGTGCAACCTTGTGAATATACCAAAACCCAATGAATTATACACTTTTAAAACAGTGAATTTTAAGTTATGTGAATTATATATCAATTTTAAAAAGTAAACCCACACTCTTAAGTAAACTAACTCTTAAAAACAAAATGCATAGCAATCACCAGTATATCCACAACTGTGAATAAAAACATTACAAATAAATTTGAAGCACGCCCCCCCTCCCAGTCTTCCCACATTCTCCTCACACTCAGCCTTCGTTACTAGCACATAACAAGTACCCCCTCCACAGCTCACTTTTCAGATAAGAAGCATAAACAATCCTTGCCTAGGAGAACTAGTTCTTCTGCCTCTCCAGGGCTACAGTCATCAAAGTTCACATGCCTGAACATCTCACAATTATCTTCCAATGGGTTCATATTTCACCTCTATCTTCTCCACTTACTGAAATGCTCTTCATCCTCCAAGAATCAAATTAGATTCCAACTCACCCATGAAATGAACTCCAGCCTTTGAAAACCTCTTTTCTTTTCTTTTTTTTTTAACTTCCAAAGAACAGATAACATGGAAACAATCCGCTTCATAAGTCTTGTCTTCTCTGAGGGTAAAAGTGCACCAACCCCCACCATTCATTGGGCAGCAGTGTAGAAAACAGACTGAAAGGGGGGCAGGATTAAAGGCAGGGAGGTGGGGGCCAATTTAAGGAAGTGGCAAAGATTCAAATAAAAATCTGTATTTGAATGAGAAGAGAGGAGGACCAAGTATTTTTGAGAATCTATCCTAAGGAAGCCCTGTCAAGGCAGGGCGATGTACATCATCTGTGGGCTGTGGTCACAGACCTACAACCTAAATGCTAGTTTTCCTCTTCCTATAACTTTTATAATAAAAAATAGTCCATAGCAAACTGTAGTGCATCTATTAAATGAATATGAAGGCATTGAAAACTGTATGAAAAACATATGGGGAAAATTCTGCAAGCTATCTGTCAAGCCACATATTTTTAATATGTAAAGAACTTTTGACAATCAACTAGAAAACAAACAAAAAGATGGACAGAGAACAGGAAAAGAAATTCAAAAATGGCCAATAAATGTGAAAAAATATTCAAACATACTAGTAATCAAGAAATGAAAAAAAACAAGACACCATTTTTCTTCTATCAAATTTAGTTTTGGGACAGATGGAAATAAGGTACCTTAAAGAAGGAAAACTTCTTTCTGTCTCGAATCACATTCATTGTCCTCACTTCCTCAATCCTATTCATCACACACAGTATTCTAATCTGGTTTCCAACTCCCACTTCTAGAACTGTGGACGGTAATGCTGATGACCAAAACCAATAACCTCCAGGTTGCCAAATCCAACTGACAATCTTACCAAACATCTCAGAAGCATGGATAACAGGACCAATTCACCATCTTCCAGAAACCTACCTCTCTCAGTTTCCATGATAGCAGTCTCCTAACTCGCTGGCTGTTTCTCTGTGTCCTTTGCTCAATCTTCTTCCTCTACGAGACCTAGAAGTATTTCAGTGCCTGAGCCCTTTTCACTTCTCTAACCACACTCTTTCCCTAAGTGATCTTACACAGTCTCATACCTTTGAATATCATCTATATATTGATCATTCCCAAATTTTTATATTTAGCTCTAGCCTCTCTCTTTCCTGACTTCCAGACCTGTACCTCCAACTGCTTCCTCCACATACTGACTTCATAACTAATAAGCATCTCAAATTTAATACGTCCAATACAGAGCTCATGATTTTTCCCAACTCAAAGTTCTCTTCGGGCCGAACCCGTGGCTCACTCGGGAGAGTGCGGCGCTGGGAGCGCCGAGGCCATAGGTTCGGATCCTATATGGGGATGGCCAGTGCGCTCACTGGCTGAGAGCGGTGCAGGCGACACCAAGCCAAGGGTTCCGATCCCCTTACCGGTCACACACACACACACACAAAAAAGGTTCTCTTCCATTCTTCTAAGTACATGGCATCATCATCTACTCAAGTACTCAGAACAAAAGTCCAGTCCTCTCCAATCCATTTCCAAGTCTTGTTCATTCTACCTCCAACATATTTTTAAATTTTTTACTCTTCCCCATCTTCACTACCATGGGCCTCGTCCAATCTATGGCAAACAGCATCCTAACTGATCTCCCAGCTTCCACTCTGGTCCTCTTCCTCCACACAGCAGTAAGATCATGCTACTCACCTACTTAAAACCTTTACAGGCTTCCTATAAAAAATAAACTCCTAATCAGGGCATCATCTGCCTCTATCTTTGAAAGAGTATACACAACCAAAAATATACACCCATTGGTAATATCTCTAGTCAGAAAAACTACAGGTACTTTTTCTCGTTCTGTTTGTCCGTATTCTTAAATTTTTCTAGGATGAATACTTGCTACTTATTAAGAAAGGGGAAATAACATTGCTGAATATATATAATATTACATCACATTTTTTACATGTTCATGAGAAAAGGGAATGGAAAACATGGGTCAATTCTGTAACTGTCAAGAAACATACTTACATGAAAATACTAGCAAACATATTCCAAAACTTTAAGAATGTTGTGCCAAGACTGCAGGATTATTGGTGACATTTCTCCTCTTCTACTTACCATGTTTTAACACAATTACATTCACAACAGAAAAAAAAAAAACAGGCTAGGTTATAAACCTCACTGTCTTGGGCAATCCGGCCACAAGGCACCAAGCCAGCCTTTCTCACATCCAAGCTCCCACTCCAACCCCGCACGGTCCCGCACACTGGTGCTCTGACTCGGCACCATCCCTGGCTTATCCTCCTACCTTTCTAAATCCCACCCATCCTCCACGAGGGAGGAGGCGGTAGGGATGGCGACAGGTTGGAGGGACATTCCGGGATTCTTCTGGTAAATCCACAACTTGCTGGTGCTGGGGCCAAATCTTGTCTCCAATGCCATCAGCAGGCCACCAAGCTTCACATCCTGAAAGCTCCGGCCACTGTGGCTCCAGGGACATCCCCCCATCCCCTCAGAGAGCGCGGCGCCTCCTTGAAAAGGACCACCCCCTCCACTCACATCCGAATTCCGGGTTCCCGATTCTGAAGCTCCTCGACAAACGCCCAGGATCCAGCCTGCTCCTGGGATTCTCTCCTCTCTGCAGTCACCAGCTACCCCCCGCTCCCCTCTGCCGGGGGACTCGCCGCCTTGGGCGACAGGAGGGGTGGGGGAGGGGCGCGCACGTGCCCGCGCCGCCCCCGCCCAGACAATGCCCGGGAGAGCGGGGCGCGCGCCCGGCCGGTCCCATCCTGCTCCCGCCAACACTCACCCTTTCTCCGGGTCTCCGGCGGCAGGACGGGCCCCGCAGGGCTCCGCATGAGTGCCCGGGGAGGTGAGGGAGCGGGCGAAGCCCCGCGGAGCCGCCCCGCCACGAGGCCCCGGCGACCCCGCAGCTCGCGGAAGCACACTGCTCGGCAGAGCCGAACCGCGCG